ACAACCACAATGGACTGCTGTTTTTTAATTAATAAATATTGCTATTTGGTTTTGTTTAATTGTTGCTTCTTGATTTCAAATGGCAATTGAAAGACATGATTTGATTCAATCCATTAGTGTCAGATTAAATGGTAAAAAATACTCATATTGGAGTACAGTGATAAGAAATTTTCTGAAGGAAAAAAGATTGTGGGGGCTATGCTAGTGGAACCGTTGTAAAACCTAAGAACTCTGCTAAGAATTATGTGACAAAGTTCGACAATTGGGAGTCAAACAATGCGAAAATTTTTACTTGGATTCATAATTCTGTTGAACAATCCATTGGTACACAGTCAGCGAAATTTGAAACGACAAAGGAAGTTTGGGATCTCTTTCAGAAGTTATATACTAAGTCAAACTTTGCAAAGCGATATCAGCTGGAGATTGATATACGGACTTTGCAACAGAAGAATACGAGTATTCTCGAGTTTTACGTCGCTGTGAATTTAATTTGGGATGAGTTAGCTCTTACGAAATTAGCATGACTGAAAGCATGCAAGGACTGTATTAATTTTAGAGAGGAGCAACGATTAGTTCAGTTTTTTATGGCACTTCCCAGTGATTTTGAGGGACTTAGATGCTCTATCTTGTATCGCACTCCACTTCCCTTAGTTGATTCGGTGGTTAGTGAACTTGTAGCTCAGAAAACACGTTTCAAATCTCTTGCATGGGAAGTATCTCTTCCTCCATCTATCACCTCAGTGTTGGCAGTACCTTCTCGACTGTCTACACAGAATCAAAACAAAGGTTATGTGAGAGTTGCTAGTAATAAGTGTAACTTTTGTAATCAAAACAAAGGTTATGGGAAGTGGTTAGTGAACTTGTAGCTCAGAAAACACGTTTCAAATCTCTTGCATGGGAAGTATCTCTTCCTCCATCTATCACCTCAGTGTTGGCAGTACCTTCTCGACTGTCTACACAGAATCAAAACAAAGGTTATGTGAGAGTTGCTAGTAATAAGTGTAACTTTTGTAAATAAAAGGGACATTGGTAATCTCAATGTCCTAAACTATTGAAGAAGCAGCAGCCACAGCCACATCAGCGATCATATCGTCCCAATGCTAACATAGTTGCAACCATGCAACCTAGTAACTCATCTGTACTTGGAGCACCACATTCTTTCAGTCCTATGTTGACTAATTTAGCAGAACATTTTCAAAAATTCTTAGCCACACAGCCACATGCTATGTCCGCTTCTGCTCATATATGTTTGTCATCTCAGAGTCATTCATGTATTTCTTCCTAATGGATCTTTGACTCAGGTGCTTCCAAATATATATCGTCTAACTCAAAATTCTTTAATGATTTGCGTCCTTCTAACTCATCTATGTTTGTTATGACTGCTGATGGCACACCATTACATTTAGCAAGCGTTGGTTCTATTAACACACATAATTTATCGCTTTCAGTTGTCTATTGTGTTCCGACTTTTATTTTGAATCTAATTTCTATTGGTCAATTGTGTAATTCTGGATACTTGGTTTAGTTTTCTTCTACAGCTTATCATGTACAGGATCCTTGATCTTAGAATTTGATTGTGATAGGTCGTAGACAAGGAGGGTTATATGTACTGGACAATCTGAGACCACCACACGTTGTAGCCTCTGGTGTTGACTTGTCATCTTTCTATTTCAATTCATCGTCTTCTAGTTTTTATCTGTGGCATTCTCGCCTTGGACATATTTTCGCTAGTCGTTTGAAATTTTTAGTTTCTAAAGGTTAAATGCTAGATTTGAAAACTCATGACATTTCTGATTGTAGTGGCTGTAAATTAGTTAAATTTTCTGCTTTATCTTTTACTCGAAGTGTTTCTCGTTCTGTTACATCATTTGATCTTATTCACTCTGATGTATGAGGACCTACTCATATTGCTACAAAAGGAGGGTCTAAATATTATGTATATTTTATTTATGATTATAGTCGCTATTGTTGGGTTTATCTTACGAAACAAAGATCGACTTTCTTTCTATTTATCGTTCTTTTAGAGCACTTATTAGAACTCAACATTCTGATGTAATTAAGTGTTTTAGGTGTGACTTGGGTGGAGAGTATATTTCTGTTGATTTCTATGAATTGCTTGCTCTTGATGGCACAATTCATCAAACCTCGTGTACTAATACTCTAAAACAAAATGGTGTTGCTGAACGAAAGCATGGAGACATTGTAGAAACTACTCTGTTAGGTATTTGATGTAATTGACAAGTCTGTGAACAAAATGAACTAAAATTAATATGTTGTAAAAATCAATGAGTAATGTACAAATAGTAGAAATTGAGTTACATTAGGTCTAGGGTTCGAGAATGGAAAAAAAGGAAAAATGACACTCGAACTTCGTTAGACTGTCGTCTGTCGCTAAGATTTGGCTCGAGCGTCTGAAACAGAAACTGTGTCGCCGAACTTTGCTCGAGCGACAAACTGTCGCACGCCTGTCGCCCAGCTCGAGCTCGAACGACATGGTTATGTGGAGAATTTTTAATTCGCTTTTTAAGGCTTTTTATCCGACCCATTCATTCCTTAACCTACACATAAATAATAGAATGCCTCTGAACGAAAATTCTAAGGTTGATCATTGTGAAAAACACATTCTCTTCATAGCATCTTCATCAAATTAACTTTCAACCTTCGTTCTGTGATTGATTCTTGGCGGTGAAAACATCAAATCCACAATCCAAATATCAAACTGCTACTTCCTACATATCTGTTAGAATTCTGAAGATCAAGGGAAGGTGACTGGAGTTCCAGTCGTTGAAGAACGCGAAGTTCTTCGTTAATTCACAGGAGATAGACGAATTCACAAAGCTGGGAGTTGTTGCAGGAGAGCGGAATCCATGAGAGCTTTGAAAACTGTAGCTGAGATTGGTGCAGTAGCACGAAATCAAGGAGATCTATGGGAATTGCAATCAGGAGGTCAGAAAGTACTAATGGTAGCCGAATCTAGCGGACTGTAAGTTTTAATTCGTTAGTTGATTATTGACTAGCAAAGTTCCCAAAGTTTTTACCCAGTTGGGATTTCTCCATGATCATTTCTTGTGTTTATTTATTGATTTCATAACTACGTTATTTCAACATATGAAAAATTGAATTGTATGATTAACCATCTAGAGATAATTAATAGTGACTTGTTGCTAATTAATTATTAAGTTTTTAACTCTGCATAATTACCTATTCACACCCACTCTAGGTGTAGTTTGGGTTGAACTTCGTATTTTAATGCTCATTCCCTTTTCTTGTCTGCCCAGGTTCCCTGTCAATTTTGGGGATAATCAATTCTCATTGTTGTTCTTTAATTAATAAGATTCAATCTTCCTACACTTCAGGTTTATCACCATTTAAAATATTGTATGGGCATCCTCCTGATTACTCCTCATTAAGAGTCTTTGGATGTACTTGCTTTGTTCTTCGTTCTGAAATCGAACGAGTAAGTTGACATCTCGTTCTGTTATTTGTGTTTTCTTAGGTTATGAGCAGGGGCAAAAGGGTTATCGTTACTTTGATCCCATTAATAAAAATATATATATTTCTCATCATGTTGTCTTTCTTGAGCACATTACATTATTTTCTATATCTGATAATACTCATGACGTGATTAAAACTGATCTTATTATCATTGATCCATTCTTTGATGATATTGATAGACCACATTCCCATACCCCTTGTACTGTTGATAGACAAATACTTGGGACTTGGTTGCATTGCCTTTAGGAAAACATTCTATTGGTTCTCGTTGGGTTTATAAGATTAAAACCAAATCTGATAGTTCAGTTGAGCGTTACAATGCTAGATTATCTGTTAAGGGTTTTAATCAGCAATATGGTCTGGATTATGAGGAGACTTTTGCTCATGTTGCCAAGATGACCACTGCTCGTCTACGTATTACAGTTGCATCTATTCGTCAGTGGAGTCTCTCTCAGTTGGATGTCAAAAATGTTTTTTTGAATGGAAATCTTCAAGATGAGGTTTATATAGTTCCTCTCCATGGTCTTTCTCACTCTCCTGGATGTGTTTGCAAGCTCAAGGCATTTTATGGCCTCAAACAAGCACCTCGTGCCTGGTTTGAGAAATTTTCCACTATTGTTACCTCTCTTGGTTTTACATCCAATTATCATGGCTCTGCCCTATTCTTTAGATGCATTTCAGCTGGTCGCATTCTACTTTCGCTATATGTTGACGATATGATTATAACTGGTGTTGATGTGATTGCAGATTTGAAATCAGAATTGGCTTGTCGTTTTGAAATGAAAGATTTATATGCATTTTCTTATTTTTTTGAGGATCGAAGTTGCTTCTTCTCGTAGAGGTTATCTTCTCTCTCAATCTTCAATCTAAATATACTATGGATGTTATTGAGCGTGCTCTTTTTACTGATATTGAAACTGCTGATACTCTTCTTGAGTCCAGCACTCGATATTCAGTTCTTCTCTTGTTTGATTTATCAAATTAGTTTGTATTTTTCACAAAGCCTATGGAAGTTTGCTAGAGAGAATGCCAAATACCAGGTGGCTTAAGTGCGTTAGATGTTGGACAAAAAACAGATTTAAACAGATCAATGATGTTCTACCACATGGCATTCCGTTAGACTGCCATCAAATCCTAACATGATTTTTTATTAAAAAGATAGTTTCCCTCTATTTCTAATTCAACTAGAAAAAGATGGTCGGTAAATATGAAATACGTTATATGTACAGATGTTATAAAAGGTACTGCATATATATAAAAAGTGTGTGTGTGTGAGAGAGTGAGTGTTTGAAATATGGATTCCATCAAACATCCTTAAAAAGTAAGATACCTCCGGATGAGAAATGTTGCATGTACAATCAACTAGTCATGATACAATTATGAGTTAAAATGGTAAAAGCACAGGTGGAAGATTGGATAGCACATGACACTGTTACGAAAGAGAAATTTTCTTCATTAATTCCGCTCCACAAAGCAAATATGCACTTAAAGGGATCATGTTGTTGTCAAATCTTCTGCCTTTTTTGAGCTACATCGGCATCTTCGCTGTTGCTTGCATCTTGAAAATGCCCTTCTGATTTTTCCCCAGAAGGCATAGGATTTTCATGATCCTAGAGTGTAATGCAAGATTAAATGTTGGGGGAAATTAAAAAGATTGACGAGTGTTATCCTAGTAGGAATAGAACTCTCGTGGTCTCGAGGTACACAGCATTCGTAAAAAAAAAAAAATGACAATATATGAACAAAACGATTCATACCTTGGCATTTGATATGCCTGAGGTTGATCCTCTATTTGCTCGTTTCCCAAGATTGATCTGCACTGACATGCGGGCTTCGGATAGATCCACACCCGTGCTCTCAAGTGCTTGTGTCAATGAATTCAAGAACCTTAATGTCAAATATCACATGTTAGCAACGAAATTTAAAACATAATAAAAAGTACAGAGAGGATCATGTATTGGCTAAGAAAACAGGATTATAGTACAGCTTAAACTCAAAGCAATAAGAAATAAAAAGCATTTCGTGAAGAAATAGAACAGTGAAAATTCCAATAAACAACATAAAATTGGTTGACCATGATGGTGAAAGTTAAGAGCTCACATGGTGTTCAAGAAATTTAGAACCATATATTGGAAATTTCATGATAACTCACCTTTGGGAGTAAAGATTTGAGATGCTAATAGTTCCCCCTTCAACTGACAGTTCATCCTGATTCATAATGCCTGAAGCAGTTGGGTCTTCAGTGGACTGCACATCTGAAACTGATTTTGGTAATGTATGGGAGAAGGCACCGTTGTTAGGGATACAAGCTGGAATGCTTGCCTGCAGTGACACGGGAATGGCCATTGCCTTGTTTGCAAGTTCAGTTTGTGGATCCACTGCTCTCCTGGAGGCATTCAAACTAGGTTCTAATTCAATAGGATTCTGATGACTCGCTTGCATGGTTGAAGGGACCGTAACATTATTTTCATCAAACAGGCAGGGAAATGTCGAACCAGAACCATTCTTCATGGCTGGGGCTTGACCAACGTGACTTTGAACTTGCCAATGGCTATTTCTCTATTCCAAGTGCAAGGACAAACAAAATTAATAACAAATGTATGCGTCAAGAATCATGATTTAAAGCAAATAAAATGTTCTCTATCTAATAAAAAACATTTGTCTAATGGAATAGGTGGAAACAAGAAAATTCCAAACTGCATTTTCATTCTACAGAAGCTAAAAGCAAAAAAACATATCTAAGAGAAGATTTTATGTTGTAATGTTACAATAGCCTATTATTGCATCATGGCATCGGGCGGTGAGTGCACATGATAGCTGCAATCTCCTCCATGGTTCTTTATCAGTTGAGGAGCGGCACTCTAATTTAGAGGGAAAAAACACAATTTCATTTTACTAAAAAGGGAGAACTCGTGTGCACATGTAACTCTCACTCAGCTAACTAATTAAGAATCAAAATCCATCCTAGTATTTATACATTCGGAAATCAACAGAGAACCACTAATGTACAAGGAAAAATCTGTGAGTGTGTCCATAAATATGGGTGTCAACTGGGAACTTTAAAGCATTTGTCTTAAAAAATAGGTGTAAGAATCGATACTGAGTAACTAGATGGAAATATCTCATAACTTTAAACTTTAAAAGACGTAGTTTGCTTTGGGGACAACTAAACAAGTTAAAATTGTGGATTAATCTTTATTTAGTCAGTCGAGATGTTACCCACGGCATTAGCTTTGTGGCCTCCAAATTCAAAGGTTGGTATGACCCTTCATACTTCTGTAGCTTCTCCTGTAAAAACTGTACATATTGAATCACCTGCATCGAAATATTAATAAACAGCCATTACAACAAGAAACTCCAACTAAAGAAACTAAATGTATATCATTTAAATCAAACAACTGGGCGCTAATTTCACCAATGATCACTAAGTTTGATCAAAATTTCAAATTGGTCGCTGTATAATTTTTCTGACCTATTTAGTCACTAAAGTTAATAACAGTTTCACCAGTAACCACTCAATTATTAAAAGTAACATATAGTCTGGCGTAGCTTCTGTGAAATGCCAAGATGGGCCAAACACCTTTAATTCTACTGCCACATACGCATAAGTCTGACTTTCCCTCATTTTTGACCCAGTTAGGAAGATGCATTTTTCTTAAATGTTTATTATACTCATCTCAACCTCTTCCTCCAGGTTATTGGATCAACCTCTTTCGTCTAGGGCACCCTGTAGTAAATTGATACCTCAACCCCTAAACTCTCCTTCAAATGTGTCCTCGACTTCAATGCATCCTCAGCACTCTTAATCACCCAAATAAGCAGGGATTCCCATCATCACCATACTTGAGCACATCTCCAGGGGAAACCCAGCACCATCCCAGATAAAGTTTGGATATTTTGGGGGGAGTGAATTTTGATAGCTCAGCTTATTGAACAGAGGTTAGATGAGCTCATTATATATAACTCATTTACAAGTGCAGAAAAAATAATAATTTACAAATGATACATCAACCACATGTCTAACCTATTGCATAAATCTGGGAGGTGCAATAAGCAATTTCACAGCCAAAACCAGTGAGTCGTCTATACTGTTGCTATAAAAGAATTCTGGGGCTGGATATCTGCTTATAATTCGCAACCCACATTAATGTGTTTGTTTAATATCACCTTTTCAATCCACCTAAAAAATGTAATCTTCAATTTGTAGGCGAGAAATTTAGTAATCCCATAATCACAATTCTCCAATTTCTGGTATCAAATGAAGTCTTCACTGTAACACGTTATTATTATTATTTTTTTCCAGATTTTTTTCACTTCAACATGGTTTGGGGAAGGCTTCCAATTGATCATTGATTCTAACAGTCCCCCCAGGCGACAACACTTTTGCCATATCCACAACCTTCTAGTGATTCCTCATCATTCCTCAATTCCACCCTTTAACCTACTCACAAACTCCATCACATCTGGCAACACTAGCTGTGCACTTCAATCCCTTGTCCCAGTCCGTGCACTCATAATTGCCAACCCATTACCTTACTCATGCAAGACTACCAGGTGGTGTAAGTTTTATAACTCATCCAACATCCGACAATAAAGGAACACAGCAGACTATGGACAAAACAACCTATTCGCGGGGTCTTGAGGATGGAGTGCTTGAGGGTGTTGTAGTGGAAGCAGTCAGGTTGTCTGAAGAACAGAAGTTGGTGTTTCTGGGCGGAGATGATGGAGGAGGGGCAGCATCTGAAGCTGTCATCATTTATTCAGGCACTGATCAGTCGTGATGGGAGAACTCTGTAGAGATCCAATGGCTTAATGGGTTTGGGTTTATGGGTGGTGCCACTAATGGAGGCCATTTTAATGGACTCGGAGAACTCTTTTAGAGGATTTTAGAGATAAATGTGCAAACACATACAGAGCAAACAAAACAAAAAAACGTGGCTGGTAAGTACAATAAACATTTAGCCCCTATTCGGTAGGAATTAAAATCCAAATTTTAATCTAAGTTAAAATCAACCATTAATTTTGACGACATTTCATGGTACCCACAAGTTTTCAACCACACATTTCATTAACTTTTATCAAAATCTACAAAAAATCTGATTTCAATCCCCATCAAACATGGGCTTAATAAGTAAAAGGCATCTTCCTAAATGGGTAAAAAAAAGAGAAAAACGACTTGTGAATGTTGCAGAATTAGCAGTGTTCATCCAGCTTGACACTAAAAAGATGCAATTAAATGTTAGCTATATTAATTGGGTGAATGGTTAAAATTAACTTTAGCGACTAAATGGGTTAGAGAAATAAAAAATAAAAAAAAAAACTTTAATGACCAATTTGAAATTCTGCATAAACTTGAGTGACCGTTGGTGAAATAAACTCTAACTTACCTCCAATAAGACAGAGGCTGTATCTCTCTTCTGATCACAATGGGGTATCAATTCTCTCAATATCTGAAATCTGTCAATATGAAAAATTGTTATGATGCAGAGAGATTAAGTCAGAAATTATAAATCATTGAATTGATATTTACACACCTCTGGAGATAAACTTGTGAGAGTGTAATACGTGGATATGCAATGTGCATAGTTTCCAGCAAAAAACTTACGGAGAAAACAACAGAAAGCATATTTTTTTTCAAACAGAGGCTTTTCCTCGATTATCAACTAATACTGATTATTTACCAATTAAGCCGTTTAAAAGTTAACAAAAGTAAAGGAAGGAAAAAATCTATGCATAGGGGTACTCTCAATTATTTTGTAGCATTGACCAAAGCCAGTGTCATTCTTTGCAAAGCATTAACAACCATGCTGAAAAACTACACGATTCAGAAAAAAGTCACGACAATGGATTATTGATGGAGGAAATTACTCAGCTAGGTATACATCTAGAAGCATGCTGACTGAAGTCTAAACAGGTTATTGCAAAGGGCTGAAGAATATGTTATAGAAAGCTGTTATACTTGAAAACAAAAGTGAATAAGAATGAAGAATAAGGCAACAATATTGACAATATCTAGTGCAGGACAAGCAGAAATCCAACAAGTCTCCTTGGAAATCCACAAAATAACACAAGAATGTGATTCATTCAACGAGAAGAATCTAACTTGCCAGATAAATCCAGCAACAAAATACTGGTGGCTCAATATCAATTAGGCTATATTGATAGGAATAATGATCAATGGCAAGAAAAAGCTCACAAATAAATAGGTGAACTGTTTTCAAAAGTTGTTTTAAGGCTTACCCTTTGAGGAATGCCTGAGGGTTTCGTTCAAAAATTTGAAGCTTAAAACTTGAGTGCCATTTGTCCAGGCTTATGCCTCCACTTAACACTAAGCCCTATGGAGATTAAGGTTCGCACTCATTTATCTTGCCTTTTCTAACTTTTACTTGACTTAACTTTTCGGACTATTTTTTATCTAGACAAGAACATCCTAAAGTTTCTTTCAATTCCCATTTTCTGCCTTTAAACAGAAGAGGAAGGGTAACTGGAAGTTATAGTGACAAGGTGGATGAGATGAGAATCAAGTATGTTGATGATTGAGATCCTATTAGCAAAGATGATGCTGGGAAAGTTGCACTAGTTTATACTTCTAGTAGATTACAATTTTGTCATGTGATTACTAATTTGACAATTTAATAAAAGATACACTGTCACCTATTTTATGTTTATTTGGAAGTTAAGACTTTTAATTTGTTAATTTGTTATGGATTTTTGAGGTGTTAATGATTTATTATGAGCATAGTATTGTATTTTTATATTCGATTGAAATGTTTTTACTGGTTTGTCCTATTTCTTACGCTTAAAAATGACCGATTGATCCTTTTAAACATTGCATACATGAGGAACCAACAAAATGGAAAAGGGACTAATTCACTAATAAAATACACTATGACAACCACCAAAATTAAAATCTTAATTCACCAGAGCATATTAATTAAGGCAATTACGATTTACAAGCACAAAGCAATTAACAAGCACAACTGGTATCGTTAATGTCCCTAGAAGACGATAGCCTTAAACATTATAAGAATCTAAATGCAAATTGATTTCCTAATGTTAAACATCTGCTAATAACTTTCTCTAGAACATGTTCTAATAATTCAATTATCTCGAACCTTAACCAGTGAAAATCCAATTCGCTAAAGAACTCATAAATTTATAAATAGCTCTGCATGACAATATCAAATACAAGAAAATAAATACATGAAACAATAATCACAGTTAATCGTCAAGCTCTTTACAAGAGATCTCGGCATGTTTTTGAGACAAATATAGTACTATTATCATAATTGGACAGACATAAAACACAACCAAATAAAAATTTTCCATATAACATAATCTATTGCATAGATACATATAAACAGGTAGTATTTATTACCTAATATATATAACATAAAGTATTTTAAACACTGAAACAAAGTTTTATATTAATTTTTTCCATTTTTGCAAAATTAAAATTATAACCTACCACAAAATTCATTCAACTCATACGAAAAATTCACCTCTCGTTGATCTTGCTCCTCCTCCGCTGTTCCGTAACCGAATGCTTTGACCTTGTTACATTCGCCTTATCATTGTTCTTCACATCTACTTTAACAACAATTTATACCAAAAATAAGCTAGATTACAATAAACTCAATTCATAAAACTTACTTCCATCAACAAATAAAATCCCAAAACACAAGATGACCGAAATGAAGACTCAACTTCCATCGCACACACAAATATATAAGTTAAAAAATAAAAAATAAAAAAATAGAGCATATACCTTTGTTTTTCTTGGTACCAAATTCTTCATCCTCCTGTTCTTCATCCTCTTGATGACCCTTTCCCGGTTTCATGGTATATCTCCAAGATTTAATTTCTTGGGCTGCATAAAATCAAGAAATTCAACACACCCACATAATTGAAATGAAAAAATAGCCAGATAAGATCACAACAAGAAAAAGAGATCTGTAAATTACTTAAAGGATATAAAAATAAAGGGAAAAAAAATAGACCAAAAAGATTACATATTTATGGTTTAAACCTGAGATTTTGTGGAATTTCAGATTTTGGGCTCTCCTGTGTGTGTAGTGACGAAATGCAATAACTGCTATACCAGCTTTTTGGCTTGGTTGTGGATGTATAAATGAGCTGGCGTTTTCTCCTCTTCATTTATTCTTGCTGTATTTTTTACTTACCTAATATTTGGGGGATTCATGTTTTCACTTGCGGTATATGAAATTCGATTTCATAAATCTATTGATGTGATTTATGTTGCCACATGGGCCTCTCGTGAACTCCATTTGCCAATTTTATTTTCTGCTCTTTTTTTAGTTATTTATTTTTGTCGGTGTACTTGGGAGTTTTGTGTATTGATTATTAAAGATGTCAACGAGTCGAGTTCGAGTCGGCTCATGAGCCAAGTAAAAAATAAGCTCGAGCTACTCATGCTTTTGGCTCGAACCAAGCCGAGCCAGCTTACAAATTTTTTAATTTATTTTTTTAAAAATAATGAAATATTCCTATAAAGAAGTAATTCAAGTTCTTCTTCTCGACTAAAATACAATAAAAAATATTCATATAAGTACAAGAATATATGAATTAGAGTATAATTTTCAAGTGTATAAATATTCTAACATTCACTTGAAAAATTTAAAATATTGGAATAGAAAATGTTTTTAAGTTTCAACACCTCAAGATAGCAAAAAATATTAAATTAATTCCTATATAATAAAATTTAAAATTTATATCAATAAAATATAACAGGAATACTAATGAATATGATAATAAATTGTAAATATGGATAGTTGTAACATAATTATGAATATTCATTATGTAAGCATATTTATATATAAGTTATATTTCATTGACTTAAATATTAAATTAAATATTAATAAAACAAAAAATTGAAAATCGACAAGGAGTCGAGCCGAGCCTAGCCGAGCCGAGCCTGGGACACAGGTCATTTTCAAGAGCCGGGTCGTGTAGCTCATTCGACCCAAGCTCAAGCTAAGTCCCGGAATTTAAGGGCCAAGCTAACTCGAGCTTTTTCCAAATCAAGTATAGCAGCTGGCCGCCTGAGCTTGATTATGCACATTTTTTAAAGTATCAATTTTGAGCATTTATGAGTGCATCGATTTTTTGTGATTTTAGTTGTAGCTTTTAAAGTATACCAATTTATTTGGGAGTTTATTATTATCAATTTTGAAAATTTTTCAAAAGAATAAAATTACATATATACCCCCTTAGTGAAAATTTTCAATTTATAATTTGTTTGTATGAATTTTTATTTATTTTTATTTACAAGTGATATTTTACTTATATGAAATCCCTTATTTATAAGTTCATTTTTTATTTAAAAACTCAAATATTTATTTAACAAGTTTTAAGTTAATATTTTTCACTTATATGTAAATCTTACAATTATAAGTTATTTTGATTTTTGGGATTAACTCATCCTTGCGGAATCACGATCTTTTGTCCTAGTCATTGTAGCACATATGGCATAAGGGACATGATGACTTGACCGTACATTTAAGCAATTCTTATACATCAGTTAATTTTTTACTTATAAGTACCTTTTTATAATTTTATAAATAAATTTTATCTTATTAGAAGTATTTTTAGTTTATAACTATTTTTTTATACAAGAGTAATTTTTAATCTTATAGGCAAATTTTTTATTATAAAGTAATTTTTTGCTTATAAATAATTTTTTCAATTAATGTATTTTTATTTACAAGTTAGTTTTAAACAAAATATGTTGGTTGAAAATAATTATTTTATAAAGGATAACATTAAAAGAAAATATGAAAAATGGCTAAAATCGTTCGATTTGGTGAATTGAGAGAAACTATCAAAATTACACTACAACAATTTTGGATGGTCTAAAAATCTTTCAAAATTGGTGCATAAAAAAATTAGCAAGTATCAATTTTTACAACTTAAAAAAGATGCCAGCAAAAATCGATGAAATAAGTCCCAAAGCAGGCCCTAAGATTAGTCAATTAGAGAATTGTTCACTTGTAATTATCGGGTGAAATGTTAGACATAAATGTGTTCATAATCCAAAATGATTGTGTATCAATAATGTTCCCTTAAAAGATAAAATAATAAATGCTTGTCTATCATTTGCATCCATAATTTTCTATGAACATTTAAAAAATAATGCAATTTCTTTCTCTCACGAGTCTAAATTGTTAAAAAATGGTTATAAACATAAGTTACATAAACTAAGGGTGTTAAATAGGTGAATCGAGTCGTTGGCTCGCTCTCCCCTATAGGGTGAGCCGAGTACGAGCCAGCTCGCCAAAAAAAACCTGGCCTCAACTAGTCCCTCGAGCTTGTTCTTTGCTGGAGCTTGCAAGCCACTTGCAGCTTGCCCTTTTTTTCTTTTTGCGTTGATCATTGAATTGTTACTAATGTTGACCCCAAAAAATGAGTTAACAGATGCTGGGCCCACTTATCCCCAGTCACGTATGATTTCGGTACGTTCCTACTAGAATAATGGTGGTAGCAAGGATGAAATAGACGCAGATGTACTGCGAGAGACAAAACTGTTCAAGATTCGGCGGGTGAAACAAAAGCAATCGCTCTAACAATGATCACTAGGCGAAAACCAAACTAATCTATACGGTGACAAATGGGAATATGTAGAAGGATAGATAAAATGTGTGTAGAAGTTGTTATACTATATGTTGAAAGTTGTATTCATTCAACTTGTAAAGAAAATAAAAAATATTCAACCAAGCGTTTGTATAAATTTCTTGAAAGTTTGAGTGTATATTTCAAATATATGAATGTCCAAATTCCAATCAACTCAGCCAATCTCAGTTACAAAGAGAACCTATTTATACTGTATTGGCCGAAGTGGTGACCATTGGATCAGAACCACGTGGCATCATCTCCATAACTGAGGCTTCACATCACAGTCTATTCATGCAATTAATACATTGATAAATGGTCAGTGCCCTATACAATAGGCTCACACACCGATAAACTTTATTAAAGGGTTACATCAATCACTTCTAAGGGATCTTCAAATCTATTGCAAGAGATAGCGTCGGCTTCATGAGCTTCGGATGAGTTTGAGAGCCTCTGAGAGATCTTTGAGGTACTTCTCTAAGTAAAGAGCTTGAGCTCCTTTCTTTGTTTCCTTGGGCAGTGTTTCAACCTAAGTTGTAGTGTTTCGTCCTTGAGGCAGTGTCCCATAGAGTTTGGCCTGCAGTGCAAGTACTTCAGTTTTGTTAGGTTTCTTCATATTTTTACCTCATGGGTCTTTGTTTGACTTTCTTGTTGACTTTCTGCCTACATAGATTCCTACGTGGCACTTTTACGTTAAGTCTTGGAGGCGAGGCGCAACAATAGTCTACCAAATCTAAGCATGATTATTTATATAATGCATAGACTTGAATGTAAAATAAATTGAGATAAAAATTTCTGTAGGGGGATGGTTTTTACCACACCACAAGAAATATACCTTATTCGTGTAGACCCTCTGCAGGTGATGTTCGAAGTGGTTTATTTGGCAATATTTCGCCTTTTGGAACAACTCTAGGAAGGTTAATGAAGTAGAGTAATTTCGAAGTTGTATCTTCCGTAGTGCATTTACATATCCGAATCACTAGCTGAACTGGTTGAAGTGAAGAGGGTTAGAACCCGATAGGGCTTCATAGTTGATAATTACGAGGCCCTTCATTTTAATAAATTTGAGAAACACGAGGCATCCTTCAATTAAGGCACCCAAATGATTTGCCGTCATGGCATGTTTTCAAGAAAAGGCAACTGAGGCTGTTCGACTTCCAATACACGCATCCATCACCACATTTAATGTGTAATGATGGCTGTCTCCCATGTACCTTGCGAATTTTAGATGCATGAAGGCACGTAGAGCAGATGTCCTAATCTAGGCCGTAAAAGACGAAGCGTCGGACGTATTGAATGGCTCAGATTAAATTTTCAAATGGACAGTCAGATTAACCTGGATCAAGATCCAACAACTATGACGGAGTGGGTCTACCTATAAAAGACGCAAACCCTTGAGAAAATCTCTTTACTTTTGCACGAATCCTTGTGTCCTTCCTTTTTAAGTTTTACAAATCTTCAAGTTTTTTCTAAGAACTTTTCAAGTTTCTTCTCTCTAAAATTCTTCTGAGTGCTCGTTTTCTTCGAGTTCTTTCTTTCTTCTCGCTACTTTCTCAAATTTCAGTGTTACTTCCTTTTCATCATCTTAAGAAACTCATAAATATTGTAATTTTTTTAAATTGTAAAAGTTTTGAAATAACTTGTAAATCGATGGCCTCTTCAACATCTGCTAGGGAACACGCAGATCTTAGTGAGTTAGCAAGTGAAATGGGGGTAGAAACAACCAACACAAACTAACCTCGTCAGAGCCATTGAAGCTGGACGGGGTGCCTCAATTACTGAAGGGGGTAGGAGAGACGATGATATAGCCTGGGGAGTAGCCAAAATCCCTTCTTCTAACAAATATATAATTCCCTATGATATTGAACTCATTTCTCCATCTCCTAACGAGCGAGCCTTCTATCACAGGCAAGGCTCCGTCGCCGTTGGTGAGTTTTTGTTGAAGGCTGGGCTTCGCCTGTCAATCCATCCATTTTTTCATGCTGTCCTTAGGCTATACGGGCTAGCCCCTACGAAGCTCGTCCCTGATACATGTGCCCAATTGGTGAGTTCTTACTTCCTTTGGAAGGAGGCCTCCTTGGGCAAGGACATGCCTTTGCACGTCTTCCAGGTCATATACCAACCTCGATCTTTAGGAAAATGGAACTCCATCGGTGGTATTTTTTATGTCCTTGGGGGTCGCACACCCCATTTGTTCTAGGCATGCCTTCCTCCATCAAACGATGGAAGGAGACCTGGTCCTGGGTCAGGGGAAAGTGGCAAGAGTGTGGGGTGATAATGTCCGCACGTCAAAATCCCAACCTCGTATTCTGACGCCCGTGAGTGCATTCCTTATTTCTTTAATTTTTTGAACTTATGAGGTCTGATACTTACATTTTTTATGTTTGTTTTGCAGGGTCGGTTGAACGGTTCGAGTTTACTGAGAGTGACTAAGATACTCTCACTGAGGTCTACAAGAAGTCGTCATCCTCGCGTGACTTCGGCCGTTTGATCCAGTCGTGAATTTTTTGAAGATTTCTGTTTGATGGCAAGGAGGATTAAGATATCCTTAGACTTTGACATTTACTTGACTTT